GCCTGCCCAGCTCCCAGGCCCGGCTGCCCTTCACCGCCACCTCCTCCAGACGCAGCAGAGTCAAGCTGATCAAAACCAGGGCGGCGGCAGCCACAGCAAACGGCCCGGAGGCGGAGGGGCCCGCGCTGCTCTGCTGGGCACAGCACCGAGGGCCCGGGGAGCTCATCCTAGGCCAGGCGCGCAGAGCAAAGGGGACGAATGTGGGAATGTCCACACTTACTAACAGTACGCTGGCTACCAAAACCTGAAAAGGATTGTATCCCCATGAAAACCAACTGGAGATCAAATCTAATTGTAAAATCGGAAGTCACTGTGTGTAGCAGCATGCTGAAAGCTCAATCATTTCCAAAGGCCCATGGTAATTAGAAGTTATATATAGAAATATATACATCAATTTATATTTATATATAAATACATACTTTTGGGTCATACTTATGTTCTTGACATGCCTCGCTTTTAACATTATGCATTTTAAATTCTGAGTTTTATACGTATTTATCTAAACCTGACTAAGTACTTGCTGATCAACCCTCAATAAATGAGATGCCCACTTAACTTTCAAGCGTGCTTCTTTTTACAAATGTCTTGCTCAGTAAAGAACCAGAGAGATAACTACCCGGTGGTTTTATTTTTTGCCTTTGTGATGTTTTCTCTGCAGCTGCTTCATGCTCTTGGTCGCATTTTATTTGGTGTATTTGAAGAGGTAATGGGAGGAGTGTTTGGGCTACAAAGTTCAAGGCCTAATGCATTTCCAGACACAGGAAATCCCCAATCAAATTTTCAACAACAAAAATAATTAAGAGTTAAAAAATGTGGCTTACATTTTTTAAGGAGGAGGGAAAGCCCTTTCATTATCTAGCCTTAGAGAAGAAGCCAAGAAGTGATGTAATAACAGCTTCAGGCCCCTCTGTGGAGACGGGAACAGTAGACTTTTAAAGCAAAGGAGCCTGGTTTGAGTTGCAGCAGAGAATTTTCTAATGGAGGCTTCCGCAGAAGTTAAAAGTGCTAACAGGGGGGCTATGGAAAATTCCTTTCCTTGGAGGGTTGCTAAAATAGACTCCGGTCTTTGGCCTTAGATGGAAAGCTAACAGAAGAGATAAATAAAATCTTTCCAGGTTATATCTCGTCCGATATTCCATGACTGTTTTCAAGAATTCTTTTTCAATTCTAACCACTTTAAAGGGGGAACTTGTCCGTTGAAAAGCCCCCACAGGCTTTTCTCTGAGCATCTCCTGGAAACCCTGGCTGCCAAGATCTTCCCACAATTTAGGATCTAAACGCAGGTGGGAAGGCACTTCTCAAGAAGTCCACGTTTTTGTGATCCCTGTCGAAGACAACAGTCTTGGCTTTCAGAGGGCAGCTGCTAAATGTATTGTGTGCTATTGCCTGGCACAGACAAAAGGGACTATGTCTGAACAAATACTGTCACCCCAATGAACAGACTAGGTGGTCTGCAGAGTAAAGTGAGACTCCTGACACACAGAGTGTGTTCAGACACCACACAGCAACCATCTGAGCTCCTCTTGAATTGCCTCCTATCTTTGAGCTTTGTTTAGTGAAGCTGTTGGGTGCTGATGGCTTGTGGGATGGAGGCTTCTTTCACAAGAAAATGGGCCATCTGTCCAAATGCTCACGCATCCCCACAGCTGCTCCTGGAAGGAGCTGCTCCCTTCCAGACTGTCCCCCCTTGCTTGTGCGAGGCATTCAGACTGGCTTCATCAGAGGAGGGCCTTAACTGCTCCTGGCGGAAGTCTCTGAGTACACTGCTGGACAGGTATCTTAGGACAAACCCAGAAGGATCTAATTTATCTGCGACTCGCAAAAACCAACCCTTAGGTAGGTTTATA